CCAACTTCGCACCGACGGGGGGGCGGATGACCGCCCCCCCTGAGATCTCGAGAACGAAGCAAGATAGCGACAAGCGGTAAACGGCATCGGATACGCACGGACAAGATCTACAATTTTTACTGAGGTCATTTTCAGGTCAGGTCAAAGATGACGTCACAGGGGTCGAAAAAGTCAAAATGGCGGCGCTAGATATGGAGAGTTTTTCTCGAATAACTTTCGAATTAGTCAAGATAGGAACAAACCAAGGGCATCATCGTGATCCTCTTGTCAATCCGCATCGAATGATATATATGTTGACCTCGAAAGGTCAAGGTCAAAGGTTGACCTCAGGTCACGTGACCTCGAGGTCATCATGTATATCATTCGATGCGTCTTGACGAGCTGAACACAATGAGACCATCGATGCGTCTGTATCTTGTTCCTGTACGGAGTTATTGGCCAAAAACCTTTGGTGACCTTTGATGACGTCACATGACCTCACAGCTGCCCAACAGCAAAACAGATCTCAAGGTAGTGAAAGTTGATCGTATATGAAGTCATGTATGGTATATGGGGCCATTCCGACCCGTTTTAGTGGTAAAAACAGGGAGTTGATTTTTCCCCCATTGACTTATAATGGGGAGGTCGCGAAATTGACCTGACCTTAGGTCACCGATATCAAAATTCCGAGATATTCAAATTGTAGCTACTAATGACCTAATAATATCCTGCGACTTTCAAAGGCCTCCGACATCTACTGTAGCTCTGGCACGGTGACAAAGTTGCAAAAAATTGACTTGAGGTTGGGTCATTCAAAGTGACCTGGTGCCCTGACCTTAAAAGGTAGGAGGTTCAAACTTGCACACCATGTGTAAAATTGATGAGGTTATAGTCATACCAAATTTCGCGGCGCTACGCGCCGCAGTTTTCCCGCTATTCGCGAAAAACATCAGGGGGGGCGGATATCCGCCCCCCCGTCGGTGCGCGGGTTAAATGAGGAACTTATAGAAAGAACACCTTTCTAATTTTTTGCATTTTGATTTTAAAGGACCTGAGGTTTATTTTGAAGAAATAAAAATGGCAAAAATTTTGGTCCCAAGGGCCCTTAACCCTATTCCTGGCGGGCTCCGCCGGGACAAGAAACTGGCGGGGGGGGGCCGATTCGGCCCCCCCCTGAGATCTCGAGAACGAAGCAAGATAGCGACAAGCGGTAAACGGCATCGGATACGCACGGCCAAGATCTACAATTTTTACTAAGGTCATTTTCAGGTCAGGTCAAAGATGACGTCACAGGGGTCGAAAAAGTCAAAATGGCGGCACTAGATATGGAGAGAGTTTTTCTCGAATAACTTTCGAATTAGTCAAGATAGGAACAAACTAAGGGCATCATCGTGATCCTCTCGTCAATCCGCATCGAATGATATATATGTTGACCTCGAAAGGTCAAGGTCAAAGGTTGACCTCAGGTCACGTGACCTCGAGGTCATCATGTATATCTTTCGATGCGTCTTGACGAGCTGAACACAATGAGACCATCCACGCGTCTGTATCTTGTTCCTGTACGGAGTTATTGGCCAAAAACCTTTGGTGACCTTTGATGACGTCACATGACCTCACAGCTGCCCAACAGCAAAACAGACCTCAAGGTAGTGAAGGTTGATCGTATATGAAGTCATGTATGGTATATGGGGCCATTCCGACCCGTTTTAGTGGTAAAAACAGGGAGTTGATTTTTCCCCCATTGACTTATAATGGGGAGGTCGCGAAATTGACCTGACCTTAGGTCACTGATATCAAAATTCCGAGATATACAAATTGCACATACTGGGACCCTAACTAAACCCTGAAGAGAAGAAATTGATCGGTCAAAAACTCTAGCTCTGGCGTGATTGCAAACTTTTCTGAGGTAGCGTCACCAAACCGCCTCTGGTGACCTGACCTGAGGTCAGATCAACTCAAAATTTTCAGACCTGTTGCGTAGAAGCCTTTTAGGAAAAGTCAGAAAATTTGAGCTTCCTAGCTCAACGCGTTTGGGAGATATAACCAAAAAACCTCAGGGGGGGGGGGGCTCCTGAGGCCCCCTCCCCCGCCAGGAATAGGGTTAAAGACAATTTAAAAAAAAAATACGACAACTTTTTTTTTTTCAATATGTTAAGCTTTTCATTCCAATTTTAAAAATACTGTATTTATCTTTGATTCATCGTTAGTTCAAAGCTGTTTACCGTTTGTTGCTTGCTTAGCTCGTTTTTGAGTTATAGCTCATCAAACTCACCCTTACAATCTGAAGTTAAGAAAATATTATGCAATGTAACTAAAAAAGTTTTCATCTGAGAAGTCTGATATTTTGGCAGGTGTTTTTGGAGCCTATGATTACCCCTTGTACCAATTTTCATTCAAATCTGAGAGATGAGGGTGACGGGCCTGGTACGATCTATCGTGGAATGCCCCAGATGCCCTTCGATAGTGTTAATGCTTGTGGCATATGCGTGGAATATTAGTGTAACGTCACGGGGTGATTTAAAAGTTGAGGTACTAGCGATAGTTGCATTCTCACAAGCAGCAAATTTCCGAACAAACGTATTGAGCATTAATCGACGACTGGCACTGACTGACTATATAGATAGCTCGCTGACGACGAGTCTGAGCAGACTGACGAGACTGACTGGCCGCGGCCCTGGAGCGGCGGCTATACGACTATTATGTTACTTACGCTATTGTATATTACTTATTATTACGCATATACTTATCGCATATAGGTACTTATTATGTTCATATTCACATTCTACATACCTAGTTACTTATGACTGCTGAGTGCTGGTGCCAAAAATTGCTGTGCGGCCACTCGGCTGTGTCAGTGCTGGCTGTGTCAGTGTCTGACACTCTGGTGTCAGTGGTGCAGCGGGGAGCTGGCGACAGCTCTGTCCGACTGCAGTCAGCTGACATAGCTCTGTCCGACAGGGCCGGAGGTGACGGAGCCGAGCTGGCCGGGATGGGACGAGGATGATGATCTGTCAGTGTCGCTCCAGGGGGTGGCTGCCGACACCATCAGTCACCTGGCTGACCTGGGACGGACGGTCACACGACTGGAGATATACGGTGAGCAGCGGCAGCACGGACATGCCGCTGATATACGAGCTCAGCGAATGGCGGACACCGAGTAACGGTGTGCCGTTGTCGGACCTCATGGAGACAGAAGTGATACATAGCCAATGTGCTTTGCGAAATAATGAAGCCAATTGAGCTCCAAAATGGAGGACTGTTCACTCAGTGACATATTCGTTCAGAGTTAGTTGATCATACTCATAACAATTGTGTTGCACTGTTCAATGAAGTTCAGTGCATTTGCTTAACATTGCATATATCATATAATAGCACTGTTTTACCATTGTCTACTGTGTCCATGAAACCATGTGAATTATTAAGTGTTGTTTCGTTTTGTCATATATTGACATGTATTACAGCCAACTGATCCTGTCTGTATGTGTGTCTGTGTGTTTTCCAGATTGTACTGATCACACGGCCGGCAGCCTGGAGCCCCTCACCAGGTGCCCTGAGCTGCAGGACCTATCAGTCTCCGCCGCCGACCTCCCGCTACTGAGGGGGCAGCTGCCGGAGGACCTCAGACTCCTCAATGTCAGAGGTGATATATCTTAGATCACACATGTAATGCCGGTATATGCAAATGGTCAGCGAAAACGGCAAATGGACGAACTGATCAGCCTCAACTAGCAAGTTTCATCGTTAATCGTGTATATTACTCGTATTGTGGTGAGAGGGGGAAGGGGTTCAATGCATGCCTTCGATAGTGTTCATGCTTGTGGCATAGGTAGGTATGCGTGGAGTATTAGTGTAACGTCACGGGGTGATTTTTAAGTTGAGGTACTAGCGATAGTTGCATTGTCACAAGCAGCAAATTTCCGAACAAACGTATCGAGCATTATTCGACAACTGACACTGACTGACTATTTAGATAGCTCGCTGACGAGTCTGAGCAGACTGACGAGACTGACTGGCCGCGGCACTGGCGCGGCGGTTATACAGAGTATAGGTGGCGCCACGATCGAAGGCGGCCAGCACGGGAATGCAGGCATTGTTACAATTCGTGAGCAGTTATTTCCAATGAGCCGAGGGATGATTATAGACTCAGTGCAACCAATGAGAGTAGTATAAGTAGTTTCATAGACTATTGTATTACGCATATACTTATCGCATATACATATTATGTTCATATTCACATTATACATACATTTGACTGCTGGTGCTAAAAATTGCTGTGCGGCCGCTCGTCTGTTTCAGTGCTGACTATGTCAGTGTCTGACACTCTGGTGTCAGTGGTGCAGCGGGGAGCTGGCGGCAGCTCTGTCCGACTGCAGTCAGCTGACACAGCTTTGTCCGACAGGGCCGGAGGTGACGGAGCCGAGGTGGCCGGAACACCCGTGGGGCGGTCTGTCAGTGTCGCTCCAGGGGGTGGCTGCCGACACCATCAGTCACCTGGCTGACCTGGGACGGACGGTAACACGACTGGAGATATACGGTGAGCAGCGGCAGCACGGACAGGCCGCTGATATACGGGCTCAGTGAATGGCGGACATCGAGTAACGGTGTGCCTTTGTCGGACCTCATGGAGACAGGTGTGATGCATAGCCAATGTGCTTTGTGAAATAATGAAGCTAATTGAGCTCCAAAATGGAAGAGGACTGTTCAATCAGTGACATATTCCCTCATAGTTAGTTGAACTACATATTGCGATTGTAATGCAATGTTCAATGCACTTCAATGCATAGGGTGAACTGATTGCATATCCGTAGATAACATGAACATTCATATTATCATGTTCATTCATTTATGTTATCACATTCATTCATGTTTATGTGGCATATCATATAGTAGGTACCACTGTTATATCATGGCTTACGGTGTCCATAAAACCATGCGAATTCATAGACGTTTCGTTTTTTTCCGTATATTTACATATATTACAGCCAACTGATCCTGTCTGTATGTGTCTGCGTGTTTTCCAGATTGTAGTGATCACACGGCCGGCAGCCTGGAGCCCCTCACCAGGTGCCCTGAGCTGGAGCGTCTCACCCTGTCCGGCGGCGTCCCTGACACCGTGAGCCTGGAGCCCCTCACCAGGTGCCCTAGGCTGCGGTATCTCACCCTGTCCGGCGGCGTCCCTGACACCGTGAGCCTGGAGCCCCTCACCAGGTGCCCTGAGCTGCACAGTCTCACTCTGTCCGGCGGCGTCCCTGACTCCGTGCTGGACAGTCTCAGCGGCTGCCCCGGGCTGGAGGACCTTACACTGGGGGACCTCCAGCGGCCGGCAGAGACGGCCTTCACAGCAGCAGCGGTCACCAGGTCAGTCAGCAGACAGTGGCGAGGCGGGTCGTGTCAGACGCTGACACTGACACTGACACTGACACACTGACACACTGACACACTGACACGCATACACTGACACTGACACTATGACACACCGACACTCACACTAACACTGACACAGTCACACTGACACTGACACTGACACACTGACACTGACACACTGACACTGACACACTGACACTGACACACTGACACTGACATACTGACACTGACACACTGACACTGACACACTGACACTGACACACTGACACTGACACACTGACACTGACACACTGACACTGACACACTGACACTGACGCACTGACACTTGCACACTGACATTGACTCACTGACACTGACTGACACCGGCTATGACACAATGACTGACACTCTGACACAGGCACATTGACATACTGACACTGACACACTGACACTAACACAGTGACACTTGCACATTGACATTGAAACACTGACACCGACACACTGACACCGACGCATTGTCACTGACACCAACACACCGACACTGAAATACTGACACTGACACTGACTCGTACGTCCGGCCGGCTGGTGCCGCTGTGTTTGTGTGTGACGGCTCTGCTGCTCTGCTCTGTTACAGACTGGTGAAGTCGTGTCGGAAGCTGTGGTGGCTGCGCCTTCACTGCACGGCAGACACCGGCCGGGCCGTGCTGACCGCCCTGAAGGAGGCGGACCTGGGCCGGGACAGTGATGGCCGGCCCCGTACCATCTGGCTCAATGTCCCCGGTAGGTGAGAGGGCGCCGCGCGCCGCACCTCTGACCAGTCAGTCCCTCAAAACAGACGCTGCACGGCGCCACCGGCCTCTCAGACACACACACACACTCGACCACCGCCGCAGGCCACGTCACGGACGGTGACGTGACGCGTCACGGCCACCACGGCCGACGGTGACGTCACGTCAGCCGTCTGTCCTGTGTGTGACGTCACTGGCCGGCGGTGTGTGGACATGGCTGTACCGCTGTCTGTGTGTCTGTCTGTGTGTGACGTGTCCACCTCAGAAGTGTCTCTGCTCTGTCCACAGGGGAGCTGTACGATCAGCTGAAGAGCCAGGGAGGCGGTCGGGTCATAGTGTGTCCGTGGTGGGATTGATGCGCTGCACTACCGACCGTGCAGTGATGAGCTGACTGCAGAGAGGCCGAGCCAGTCGGCCGGGGCCGCCAGCTGACTGCTGCCGTGTGTGCTGCACCAGCCGGCACTGAGAGCGGCGCCGGTCAGCCGGCACACGGCCCCCGTGTCCGCTCTAGTGTAGTCATGTAGTTGTAGTAGTAGTAGTGTAGGTGTAGTAGAAGCACACGGATGTGATGTAGTGGGTTATTACCGGGTGGGTATTGTGGGTAATTGGCTGGAACGATGTGATCTAGTGGGTAATTACCGGGCGGATATTGTGGGTAGTTGGCTGGAAGGATGTGACCTGGTGGGTAATTACCGGGCGAGTATTGTGGGTAATTGGACAGTGAAAAGTGATGTAGTGGGTAAATACCGGGCGGGTACTGTGGGTAATTGGACGGAGGTATGTGATGTAGTGGGTAATTACCGGGCGGGTATTGTGGGTAATTGGACAGTGAAAAGTGATGTGCTGGAGAGACTACCGATCGTGGCATTACGCTATTCTGTATGTAGAACCCACGTCTCTGGCCGTCCGACACGGTTCACCGCGCCTGGTCCCGGCGGCACGGCCGGCCTCGGTCACGTGACCGTCCCCCGGTGGAGTCGGACGGCTCGGTCACGTGACCGCTCCCCCCGGGTCTGGCTGCACCTCGGCTCGGCGGTGCTGAGCGCCGTGCTGAGCGTGTTGTGACACGTCCCACACGGACAGCTCTACTCGACTACTGGCTAGCTGCCGTCCGAGCTGGCAGTATACACGCGGTGCCAGTTCAGACGGCGGCCGGCCGCGCCGCGCCCGCCCGCTCCGGTCCCGGCCGGCGGCCGTCACCCGGCCCGGGGCGGGGACCGGTCCGTCAGCTGACCATTGGTCAGTCAGCTGATTGGTCCGTCAGCTGGTTGGTCCGTCAGCTGATTGGTCCGTCAGCTGATTGGTCCGTCAGCTGATTGGTCCGTCAGCTGATTGGTCCGTCAGCCGCCCCGCTCTCCACCGGCGGAGCGCGGCGCCCGCCGAGACTCGAGACGTCAAACACATTGTCCACTATATACACGAGAGGAGACGCTTCAGCTGTACCATCTGTAGCCTAGGGCAATTAGTTACCGGGCGAGTATTGTGGGTAATTGGAGGAAGTGATGCGACGTAGTGGGTAATTACCAGTCAGGTATTATGGATAATGTAACCCTGGGTATGATATAGCCGGCTATCCAACGGTCGAATATAGTCAGCTGGATGCTACTGAATTGTGTAGAGCTCTGACGGCACCGGTCATAACGAGTGTCCTCGCGTCTGTCCGACTCGGTTCACGGAAGCACGCCGTCACGGCCCGGGTGTGCGCGCCGCCATGTTTTGTGTCCTCTGCTTCGTACAGGGGGTAATTGGGCTACCGACCGATTGGGAGTCGGAGTCGGAGTCCGTGTCGATCAAGCTGCCTTGACTCCGACTCCGGAACGGCTTTTTAGATTTTAGTTATCACTTGGCCATGCTACTGATAATCGGCTGCGCTTTGACTAATACATTTTACACATGTCCAGTCTTTGTCCTGGAAAACAGCTACCTTCTGAGCTTACCTCATCATCTGTGCTAATGTCCTGGTGACCTGAGTACAGTTTGGCTCCACCATAGGGGGGGGGGGGGGTGTTTGTGCGCCGCTGTGCCGCCGCTGCTGTGACCTGCCGAGCTGCGGTCCCGGCTCCAGAGCACACCGTCGGCCGTCGAGGCCTGGTCCTTCTGTTCCGTGCACATCATCAACAGGTGTCGTATATATCTATAATACGGGCCCAGCGTGAGAGTTCACCGTTAACCGGCGGCCACACACTGACTGGCTGGATCGCCACTCGCCGTATTTCACCGCCTTCCCCGGCGCCGGGCGGACGATAACCTGTATACGACACACTGTATACACCCGCCGTCATTTGGGATCAGGTCTGAGAGCCGCCTCTGGTAAATCAGCTGCCGTCTCGAGCCATTTGGCTGGATCTAGGATCCCATCGGATCCAAGATCAGGATAACTACGTGGGATCAGATCACACATACATATACCTTTTCTGAGGTTCCTGCACAATGCATATGTGTTTTGGCCACTCTGGTGTCATGTAAGTAGTTCCCTGTCGCAGTTCTGTGTGTGTTGTATGGCCTGCACCCGTCCCCCTCACAACTGCAGTGTTCGGTGCTGGTCAGTGACCCACAGCTGACACCGGGCCTCCCACCGCCGGCGGATGAGCCGGCCGGCCCGTGCCCGGCCCTCCATTCCAGCCGCCACGGCCGGCCGGCGGCACTTGTCCAACACCGGCTGGACACACTACCGACTCGGAGACACACACGGCTCGGGAGACACCCGTGGCGTGTTCTGGGGCCATACACGGACACTGCAGTGGCCACTGGGCAGAGGTGCGGACCGGACGTACCGCCCGCCCCTCCGACTGGGCAGAGGTGCGGACCGGACGTACCGCCCGCCCCTCCGACTGGTCAGAGGTGCGGACCGGACGTACCGCCCGCCCCTCCGACTGGGCAGAGGTGCGGACCGGACGTACGGCCCGCCCCTCCGACTGGGCAGAGGTGCGGACCGGACGTACCGCCCGCCCCTCCGACTGGGCAGAGGTGCGGACCGGACGTACCGCCCGCCCCTCCGACTGGTCAGAGGTGCGGACCGGACGTACGGCCCGCCCCTCCGACTGGTCAGAGGTGCGGACCGGCTCGGATGTACCGCCCGCCCCTCCGACTGGGCAGAGGTGCGGACCGGACGTACCGCCCGCCCCTCCGACTGGTCAGAGGTGCGGACCGCCTCGGCCGCCCGGCCCGCCCCTCGGCGCGGCTGCCCGGCTCGCTGCTCGCTGCACGGTCCGGTCGGTCCGAGACTCTGTCGGAGCTCTACTGGTGACCGTCCGGCGCGCCGCCGCCGCCGCCACCGCCGCCGCCGGCCAGGTCACGGCCCAGGTGGGGCGCGGCGGGGCGGTGCGTCACCAGGCGCGTGTCCACGGACCGCCACTGGGTAGCTGGGGGGGCGGCGCGCCGCGGCACCTCAGCGCCGGCCCCGTGGGTCACTGAGCGGCGCCGACGGCCGCCACAAGAGAGCTGCCGGCTGGCTGTCGGCCGGCGGTAGCAGAGGGCAGCGGGAACAACCGTCGGCCCGGCGGGTCACCGACGGTCCCATCACCCACCGGGGACTGGTGGTGGGAGTCGCCCACCGGTCCCATCACCCACCGGGGACTCGTGGTGGGAGTCGCCCACCGGTCCCATCACCCACCGTGGACTCGTGGTGGGAGTCGCCCACCGGTCCCATCACCCACCGGGGACTGGTGGTGGGAGTCGCCCACCGGTCCCATCACCCACCGGGGACTCGTGGTGGGAGTCGCCCACCGGTCCCATCACCCACCGGGGACTGGTGGTGGGAGTCGCCCACCGGTCCCATCACCCACCGGGGACTCGTGGTGGGAGTCGCCCACCGGTCCCATCACCCACCGGGGACTGGTGGTGGGAGTCGCCCACCGGTCCCATCACCCACCGGGGACTCGTGGTGGGAGTCGCCCACCGGTCCCATCACCCACCGGGGACTGGTGGTGGGAGTCGCCCACCGGTCCCATCACCCACTGGGGACTTGTGGTGGGAGTCGCCCACCGGTCCCATCACCCACCGGGGACTGGTGGTGGGAGTCGCCCACCGGTCCCTTCACCCACCGGGGACTCGTGGTGGGAGTCGCCCACCGGTCCCATCACCCACCGGGGACTGGTGGTGGGAGTCGCCCACCGGTCCCATCACCCACCGGGGACTCGTGGTGGGAGTCGCCCACCGGTCCCATCACCCACCGGGGACTGGTGGTGGGAGTCGCCCACCGGTCCCATCACCCACCGGGGACTCGTGGTGGGAGTCGCCCACCGGCCTCTGAGGGCGGCACCGGTGGGACGGTCCCTGCCGACTGTCCCTACCCCATGAGTGGGACCGGTGGGACTGTCCCTGCCGACTGTCCCTACCCCATGAGTGGGACCAGTGGGACTGTCTCTGCCGACTGTCCCTACCCCATGAGTGGGACCGGTGGGACTGTCTCTGCCGACTGTCCCTACCCCATGAGTGGGACCGGTGGGACTGTCTCTGCCGACTGTCCCTACCCCATGAGTGGGACCGGTGGGACTGTCTCTGCCGACTGTCCCTACCCCATGAGTGGGACCGGTGGGACTGTCTCTGCCGACTGTCCCTACCCCATGAGTGGGACCGGTGGGACTGTCTCTGACGACTGTCCCTACCCTATATGTGAGGGTCCGTTTCTGCGGCGGCCGCTGAGCCCCCAACCCTGTCCTTCTCCTCTCCCCAGTCCGCTGTGCAGGGTCGCTCGAGGTCACGTAGTCAATTGGGCTGTCTTCTCCAATGCACCTTGTATTCGTCGATCGACCTCACACACCACCGTGCAGTCACATGGCTACGACCCGACTCCCCTCCGTGCCGTCCGACGCGCCGACATGGCCCCACAACTGGGACAAACGGCCGCCGGGGACGCTCCTATGTCCGATGTTCGTCTCCGTCCACACCGGAGAGGACAGGGCAGGCGGCGGCCGGCCGACGCTGCCCGCGGCGCCGAGGTGACAGCCTCAGACCTCGCTGCTCCCAGTACGCTACACTGGTCAGGCCGGGCCGGCGGCGGCGTGCCATCGGCCGCCGGCCAGCCGGCCTCCCCGTACTGACCACTCACTCACATACAGCATACACCCCCCTGTTTATCGAGAAACATACACAACATACGATCTGAACTATGTAATCAGCAGTCACCAACGAATAACGATGGTCTTCCATAGCTCAATAGTCCCAAATATTGAGTTTGTAATTGCCGTTAAACTGCCGTTTTTACGTTATTTGCGAAAAAAACCTTAGGGAGGGTTGATCACCCCCCTCGCCGGGCGAGGGTTAAATACCTCAGTGTACGGCCGACCCGGACAGAAATTCCGGCCTGGGTGAGGGTCAGCTGCCCCTTCTGACCCCCTTTGCCTGCGCCACGGATCCAACCTGATGGTCGGTGTAACGCTTATCAGTAATCTTTAGACCAATAGTACATACATACCGGGCCTCTGTCTATCTGAGACGCTGTTGCACGGGACTGGTCTGATAGTCGGAGCCACTGCAGCCCGATAGTGGCAATCTGGGAGCGGCGTCTGCTCAGGACTATCGGGGTGGAAGCTCAGACAGACGCCGCGGCCATCCGTCAGACGCCCGCTGCTGTCGACCGTCCATGGTAAGTCATGGGAGCAGAGCATATCCAGTCAACTCTCTTTGGGATAGATGCAAGTGAGCACGAAGCGAGTCTATTCAGCCATAGACTCGAAAACGTATGCATGTAACGGCAGTGCAACGCAATCCGTCAAGAAACGCTTGACGGATCAACACGAAACTTGCGGTATTCTCAACGGCATCAATTTTACACCTTGTGTTAAAATTTCAACTTTCTAGCTACCATAGTTGGGCCGGTAATGACGTTAGAGTGACGTCATGTCGGACGATTTTAATGCAAAATATTGAATTACCGCAAACGCTCTCAAGAGCTCAGTTTTAAAGCTAGATCCATTTTCTTTGCATGAGTGGACTACAAATACATGTAACTATCAAACTGTTATCTCGAATTCTCGACATTTTGAAAATTTTGAGAAATATGTATTAACAATTACAAAAAAATAACTCTACCAAGTTTTAGCCTAATATCTGCAAAAATAGCAAAGTTATTTGCATTATTGTCAAAATTTTACAATTAACTATTTTTCAAAACCGTTTTTCGAGAACATATATGGTTGATGGCTGTGATGAGCATTGTTAGTATTATAGTTTTAGTGATGATGAAATAGCCTTTGCTCATACTTAGGTAATCGAAAAATGACGAAAAAACAAAATATATATAAAGACACTGATATTTCGCCCTTGTGGCTTCTTCAGAGTGAACATTTAAAACATTCATATTTGAAGCAGAGATGGCGAACGTGCGGATAACATTCTTTGCAAAACCGTTTTTCAGTACCTTAACCCTCGCCGGACCTATTGGTTTTCTACATACGCGCCGGCCGAGGGGGGGGGGCGGGTACGACCCCCCCCCCCCCCCTCGCCGTTTCGCCCCTGGTGGAGCTAGCGCGTCGCGGAAAAAACGAGCGTGTGCGCCGTTACGAGACGCAGAGATTGGTACCCGATTATAAGGTCCTAGGTCAACCGGTGACCTCTGAGGTCAGGTCAAGTGCCCCAAGGTACGGTTCAGTTTTTGGTGAATAACTTCGCAAAAAACGGCCGCAGAGCGCCGATTTTGGCAGCATCGTGTTCGTCTCGCTCAGGCACGTCGAATGATATACTCTTTGTCCGGGTCAGGTCAACTTGGGGTGTTGACCTCAGGTCAAGGTCAGGTCAGCACCCCCAGGTCACGAAGTTGGTCGAAAGAGGTCATGTCGCATATCATTCGATTCGGCAGGTCTTCCTGAGTCCATTGGTGGCTTTCCCGACTCGCTAGCTCAATTTGATCAAGAGTTATTGACGAAAAACTAATATGACCTTGATGACGTCATAAA